CCTCCTCCTCCTCTCTGGGGCAGCCCCTCAAATCTTGGAAGGCTGCTCTCCTGTCTCCCCTGGTCCTTCTCTTCTTCCCTGGACCAGCCAGGCCCAGTTCCTGCAAGCGTCCATCGTATGTTTTAGCCTCCAGTCCCCTCATCATCCTGGTTGCTCTTCTCTGCACTTTTTCTAGAGTCTCAACATCTTTTTTATAGTGTTGTGACCAAAACTGGATGCAGGACTCTAGGTGTGGCCTTACTCGCAGAAAGGAGCTCTTGGTTTAATGTCTTTTGGCGTCTCAGGTGTAAATCTTCACCGTGGTTTTTACAAGGGAGACAACGCCAGGCCTGGTTTCGATTCGAACCTGCTTTGGAATACATTCTTCCACGATTTATGAGTCCCTCTTCCTCCTCTGGCACTTCTCATCACGCCTTCGTCATCTTTTCTTACACCTCCACGGAGATTTCTTTAGTAATTGCAACGGGGCTTGCTGTGTAATTAGCACACTCTCTAATTACCGCATTGTGCCGAGGGAGCGAGAAGCATTGGTCAAAAACAAGGCCGTAATCATTTCTGCGGGTCCGTGTGGGCCCCAGGGGCCCTCGTGACGTTGCTAGAAGCCGCAATCTTTTTAGTCTTAAATACAAGCCCAGTTGCTAGCAGTAGCATCTTAGTTGTAATTAAAACTCTCTGCAAAGATATTACGGGGCCTTGAGGCACCCGATTTATTTTTATGGGATTTGGTTTCCTCGGCCTATGAGAACCTGAGCTGGGGGATTTGTAGAAAATACAACCAAGAAGATATTTTCTCCCTGTTGTAAAGCTCTCTTGCGTTATCTCCAGTTAGTAAAACCAGAGGTGGTGGCGGGGGGTTGTTTTCTGGAATGCGGGCTGTGTGTGCGAAAGGTCTTTCCGGGGTCCATAGTTGTCGTGATAATGTTAGGAAAGTCTTCGGGCAGATAATGTGAAGATGTTAAGGTGCTGGTCCAGAAAACCAGGAGATGGTGAGTTCTAGTCCCGATAGGCATGAAAGCCAGCTGGGTGACTTTGGGCCAATCACCAGGAGAGAATGAGTTCTAGTCTTGCTTTAAGCATCAAAAATGACCAGGTGACTTTGGGCCAGTCAGTAGGAGACGGTGAGTTCTAGTCCTGTCTTAGGCATAAAAGCTGGCTGGGTGACGTTGGGCCAATCCCCAGGAGACAGTGAGTTCTAGTCTCACCTCAGGCATGAAAGCCGGTTGGGTGACTTTGGACCAATCACCAGGAGACAGTGAGTTCTAGTCCTGCCTTAGGCATCAAAGATGACTTGGTTACTTTGGGTCAATCACCAGGAGACGGTGAGTTCTAGTCCCACCTTAGGCATGAAAGCCGGTTGGGTGACTTTGGGCCAATCACCAGGAGACAGTGAGTTCTAGTCTCACCTCAGGCATGAAAGCCGGTTGGGTGACTTTGGGCCAATCGCCAGGTGACAGTGAGTTCAAGTCTCACCTCAGGCATGAAAGCCGGTTGGGTGACTTTGGGCCAATCACCAGGTGACAGTGAGTTCTAGTCTTGCTTTAAGCATCAAAGATGACTTGGTTACTTTGGGTCAATCAGCAGGAGATGGTGAGTTCTAGTCCCACCTTACGCATGAAAGCCGGTTGGGTGACTTTGGGCCAATCACCAGGAGACAGTGAGTTCTAGTCCCACCTCAGGCATGAAAGCCGGTTGGGTGACTTTGGGCCAATCACCAGGTGACAGTGAGTTCTAGTCTTGCTTTAAGCATCAAAAATGACCAGGTGACCTTGGGCCAGTCAGTAGGAGACAGTGAGTTGTGTGGAAAATAGGAGGAGGAAGGAGCAATTACGTATGTTCACCACCTTGAGTTATTTGTAAAGTGACAAAGCCAGGCTAAAAACATAATAAATAAATTTTTCAGCAACAGCAGGTACGCCCTATCCTGTCTATGGATAATGGGGACTGTAGTCTCACCACTGCACTGAGACCAGGCTGTGTAAAGCAGAAGTAGTCAGCAACCGATTCTGCAGGTTGTGCACTAAGCCTTTCCTACGGGAAGTGCAGTTGTCACGATATCGATTATTGTTTGCTCTGAGTAAACCACGGTTTGTAAGCCAGAGTCACGGAGCTAATCCAATAATATCCGGAGCCCAACCAAGCAAATCACATTATCCTTGGCTTAGCCTTGTTTCACTTAGTGAACATTCGAAGCTCCAACAATACAGGAAAAAAGGAACTTAGGGCCATTTCGCCATTGCAGCATCCCCCCCAAATTCGGATGCTTGGCAACATGACTCGTATTTATGACGGCCGCAGCCTCCCGGGGTCCCGCGATCCCCCCCGGCAAGCAAAATCAACGCTGGACCCACTTAGCAACTTGTGGCTAGGAAGAGGGCAAAACTCACTGAACCAGCGTCTCGCTGAAGAGCAGAAATGTTGGATCTCTGTTGTGATCGTAATTGCACGGAGGCTAAACAGTCAAAACGAGGAACGCAGCACACACAAACATCTGCTTAATTTTTTGGTCCAAGTTCTCCGCGTTTGGTTTTTTTTTTATTTTAAAAGAAAAAAAGACTTATTTGCAGCCGAGCAGGAAGTGTCTTTGTTCCCTTTAATAATGAGGCAAGGCCGGCCCTTTGGGCAGACAAGCGCCAACTGATGGATCGCGTCCCCGCCTTTCTGCACAATAGCTTTTCCCCAGATTCAGGAGTCAAGGGTTTCCGGAAAGGCTCCCGAGGCGCACGCAGGCACGCACACGGAGCCCGGCCGGCGGCTTGACCGGCGGAATACTTTCCAAATCCCCCAGCAGGAGGTGGGAGGCAGGAGGGATCGGAATTTGGGCTCCTTGGAAGAATTGGTAGAAAGGAGAACCGAAGGGAAGCCCCCCATTTGAGTGGCGCCAACACATTCCTTTCCAGGCGAAGTCGTGGGCCGTGTGTTTGGAGACTGAATGCCCATTGCTACAACAAGACAATGGCCTGCATTTCCTTGCATTAAAGGCCGGCACAATAGCCCACCGTACAAAGCCCCGTCTGATAAAAAATTCTTATTTTTAGAAAGCTGGTAGAAGGAACGGGAGGCCGGCCACTTCAGGGCTTTTTTGCATCGGGAGTGGAACGTCCAAACAAAACGCCTGCCTCTATTGTCTGTGGAGATTCTCCGTCATCCCAGGTCCTGGTTGTCCCAAAAGAGCCTTTTCTTTTTTCTTTCTTTTTTTTTTCCCAGAGGCAACTGGAGTTTCTGGTATTTGTCTTTGAAGACCTTTCGCTTCTCCTCCCAGAAGCTTCTTCCGCTCTGACTGGATGGCGGGGGATGGAAGGGCTGACACTCCTTGCAGGCAGCTGGTCCATTTGCCTCCGTTTTAGCGAGGCGTTGAGGGCCACTGGGAGGTTTGTCTGTGTGTCCTCAGTTGTTCTTCAGGAGGCAACTGGACTTTTCTGGGTTTTCTTGAAGACGTTTCCCTTCTCCTCCCAAGAAGCTTCTTCCGCTCTTGAGGGGATGGCGGAGGATGGAAGGATTTATATCCCTTGCAGAAAACTAGTCATTTTCGTCCTTGTCGGGAGTCCTTGACACCACTTGGAGGTTTATCTGCAATTTCAGGGTCACCTGAGTAGTTGTAGACAGATGATGTAGAGCAGCTGCTAATCGTTTCAACCGAGAGCCGGAGACCACTTGGAGGTTTATCTGTGCCTTCAGGGTCACCT